GTCAGGTCCATATCCCCTCTTTCGTGCAATTACTTACTTTCCCTTCAGTTCATTCAAGAACTTAGCTTAACCATCATAACATTCCCACCTGCATTTCCTAGTGCTCTGTTCAAACGAAAAATTATATCATATATGTCTTAGCAAAAGAAACAAAATACGATTTTATGCTTACCACAAAAATAACCAACCTCATCATAGTCAACCATATGGCCGCAATAATGGCCTATTCCAAGCTCCGAATGGACTAGACCGTAGTTGGATTTAACACCACATTCGCAGTTGACTGGAGGTGCTTTGTAAATTAACCTTTCTTTTTTCTTTTGCTTTGCCTTTGGAGATTCTTCCGGCCATTGGTGAAAGGTCCTAATATGGCTAGAGGGGGGGTGAATAGCCTATTTAAAAATCTACAAATCAACTAGAGCAATTTGATTTGTATGACAAATAGCGTAATGCAAACTTGCTCTAGCTCTACAAGGGTTATAAGCCACCTATCCAACAATTCTAGTTGCAATGAATACTTAGGCACACAAACTAGCTATGTAATTACTCACTAAGAGCTCTCAACCTTGCTACTCTAAAGAGCTCAACTAGATGAATATAAATAATAAAGCAAGCTCTCAATTCTAATTACACTAAAGAGCTTGTATCAACTAGTTTGCAAGAATGTAAAAGAGTGAGTAGAGTGATTATACCGACGTGTAGGGGATGAACCAATCACAAGATGAATATATAGCCAATCACCGGGAGAATGACAAAGAAGAGAGACAATCGATTTTCTCCCGAGGTTCACTGCTTGCCAACACGCTTACGCCCCCCGTTGTGTCGACCAACACTTGGTGGTTGCTGGCTAAGAGGTGTTTCACAAACCTCGTCCACATGATTGGACACCGCAAGAACCGACCCACAAGTGAGGTAACTCAATGACACGAGCAATTTACTAGAGTTACCTTTCGGCGCTCCGCCGGGGAAGGTACAACTCCCCTCACAATCACCGAAGGCGGCCACGAACAATCACCAACTCGTGCCGATCCTTCACCGCCTCCATTTGTCTAGGTGGTGGCAACCACCAAGAGAAACAAGCGAAATCCACAGCAAGCCAAACACGAATACCAAGTGCCACTAGATGCAATCACTCAAGCAATGCACTTGGATTCTCTCCCAATCTCACAATGATGATGGATCAATGATGGAGATGAGTGGGAGGGCTTTGGCTAAGCTCACAAGGTTGCTATGTCAATGAAAATGTGCAAGAGTTTTCCTTGAGCCGCCATGGGGCTATAAATAGAGCCCCCATCAAATAGAGCCGTTGTACCCCTTCATCGGGCAAAACGCTCGACCGGACGCCCGGTCATACCGACCGACGACTGCGGCCCTCAGCGTCCGATCGCCGATGGACGCCACGCGTCACCAGCTTCAAACGCTGTTCGCCGATTTCAACGGCTACGGAAGCGGACGGACGCTCCGGTCAAAATCGACCGGACGCTGAAGCCCCAGCGTTCGGTCTTTCCAGAAGAAGCTCCCGAGGCATGTTTTTTTCACCGGAGTCCAACTTGACCGGCTTAACCATCGGTGCTCAACTACCCGTGTTCCCATTTCGGCTCGGACCGACGCAGCCTTTTCAGCATTTCATTGAGTGACTCAAATATTCGGTCATGAGACCGACGCCAAACATCATTTCGACCAACTCCATTTCAACTCTAACTTCTTCACCCTTGCTCAAATATGCCAACCACCAAGAATTTTGCATCATTAATAGAAAATAGTTACATTTCATTTTTTTCCAAAAGGACCCAAACCCATCTCAACCACGCAAACACCTTGTGCACATGTGTTAGCATATTTTCACAAATATTTTCAAGGGTGTTAGCACTCCACTAGATCCTAAATGCATATGCAATGAGTTATAGCATCTAGTGGCACTTTGATAACCGCATTTCGATACGAGTTACACTCCTCTTAATAGTACGGCTATCTATCCTAAATGTGATCACACTCACTAAGTGTCTTGATTACTAAAACAAAATGGCTCCTACATTTTATACCTTTGCCTTGAGCCTTTTGTTTTTCTCTTTCTTCTTTTCCAAGTTCAAGCATTTGATCATCACCATGCTATCACCATTGTCATGATCTTCGTCATTGCTTCATCACTTGGAGTAGTGCTACCTATCTCATAATCATCTTGATAAACTAGGTTAGCACTTAGGGTTTCATCAATTAACCAAAACCAAACTAGAGCTTTCAATTGGTTCTTAGGACCATACAACCACTCCTTGAAACGACACTTCGCCATTGAAAACATCTAAATAAGGTGACATTAGTACATGAACACATATAGCTCAACATTTCAACACATACACTTTGCACTTACTTCATGCTTGTTTGGACACACAAACTCCAATGTATTCTCAGGATTTATCATAACTCGATCTCCGTAATCGCACAGAGGAGGTTCCTCTAGTCATCTAACTACGGCTAAGTGCTTCTCCTTAGTAGTCATTGAAGGGGGGTTAGGGGGAGGTGGAACCCACCGCTTGAAGTGCTCTCGTGGATGTCGCCCTCTCCACCAATCGTCGAAAAGGAGATACTTGGGATCAAACTTGTCTGCATCGTCGATCCACTGAAAGGAAAAGCACCTCTCATGGACCTACACAACAAAATTCCAACAAAATATTAGTAAACTAGTAATACAAATGAAGAAAAAAATATACGAAAACAATTCCTTACATTAAAACGACTGTATGTGTAGAAGCAACGAGCGTTGTGTCCGGATGTCTCGATTGAAACACGTCGGTCGGACGACCACAATCACAGTTAGGGACAGGGAGGTCAGGAGGGACGGGACATCTTTGCTAGACTCGTCGGGGTACAATTCTCTAGGACGACCCCGTTTTCGCCATAACTGCTCCCGAAATATGTCTTCCATCTAATAAAACAGTTCAAATTAAACATCAATCAAAACAACACAAATTAATGTAAAATATAATCATTTGCATTGCAACTAAAATAATATAACCAACACTTATAGCAACAAAAATATACATGATAAACATACTTCTAACTAAATAATTAACCTTAACATTGACAAAATCAAAATAATATCTTCCTCCAAACCGTAGCCCATAGTTCTCAAACATAATTTTCCTTCTAACGTTAACTCCAATTCATAATATTCCAATCCACCATTCAAACAAAAATAAAAAGTGCGTTATTACCTTGAACGAGGCCGAGGAGGGAGGGAGGCGGCCAAGGAATGAAAGGGAAGGGAGGGAGGAGACAGCACTTGGGAGTCGCGTGCGGGTAGGCGAGGCGGACAGCGGCCAGGCAGGCGGGTGTGCTCGGGCAAGCGGGACTAGGCCGCGACGCTTTTATTCAGCTCTGTCGCGTCACCAATCAGGGCGCGTCACTGTCGCGCCAAGATCGGTGGCGCGGCAAGCCCTGCCACGTCACCGGTCAGCATTTTCGGTCGTCGCCACGTTATCCACCCGCCGCGCCACCATGCATGGCGCGGCACAAAATGTTAGTTTTAAAGAAAAAAACAGTATTAGATTTAAAATTAGTTTAAAAAGTGTTAAAATTAAAAAAAATCTCCGGAGCGGACCGCGGAGGTTTGTTACTGCCGGAGCCGCGGAGCGAAAGACTTTTCCACGTCGCTCCCAACCACCCTGCAACCACAGCTTCCGCCCACTCATTCACCGGGCGGCTTCCATACATATACATTCTTCACCGAAGCAGCTCTCCTCGTGGACTAGACACAGCCCAGCCATGTCTACTGCAGCCTTCGCGCCCACGCGGCTCGGGACGACGCTCACGTTCGGGCGCGGGTGCCCCCATCGCCGGAGCCGGACGCCGGTCGTGGCGCCGCCGAGCCCAAGGGGCGCGACGTGCACCCGCAGCTGTGGCAGGCGTGCGCGGGCTCCATGTGCGCCGTGCCGCCCGTCGGCGCCGCGGTCTACTACTTCCCACAGGGCCACGCCGAGCAGGCCGCCGCCGCCGTGGACCTGCGTCGCGGCCGTCAGGCTCATGGAGCCCGACACCGACGACATCTACGCCAAGATACGCCTCCTCCCGCTCCGCCCCTGGGAGCCGGTGGCGGACGTGGGCGACTCCCTGGCCGAGGAGAGCAGGGCCGGGGATGGGGACGGCCAGCATCAGCTGCAGCAGCAGCGGCCCAGGCCGCTGGTCTTTCGCCAAGACGCTGACGCAGTCCGACGGCAACACCGGCGGCGGCTTCTCCGTTCCGCGGCTCTGCGCGCTGTCCATCTTCCCGGAGCTGGACTACAGCTTCGACCCGCCCCTGCAGATCATCTCCGCAACGGACGTCCACGGAGTCGAGTGGACGTTCCGCCACATCTACCGGGGCAGCCCGCGCCGGCACCTGCTCACCACCGGCTGGAGCAACTTCGTCCACAACAAGAAGCTCCTGCCCGGCGACTCCGTCGTCTTTGTGCGCGAAGAGGACGGCAAGGTCCACATAGGCCTGCGGCGCGCCAAGCGCGTGTTCTGCGACGGCGGCGGCAATGCGGGCAGCTCGGGCGCCGCCGTCGCGGGTCCATCGGACGGCAAGGTCCCAGCGGAGGATGTGTTCGAGGCGGCGAGGCTGGCCGCCGCCGGGCAGCCGTTCGAGGCGGTGCACTACCCGCGTGCGAGCGCGCCAGAGTTCTGCGTGCGTGCGGACGCCGTCAAGGAGTCCATGCGGGCCCCCTGGTGCCCAGGCCTGCGGTTCAAGATGGCGTTCGAGGCGGAGGACCTGTAGCGGATCAGCTGGTTCATGGGCACCATCGCCGGTGTCGAGCCGGCCGATCCCGAACGGTGGCCGCAGTCGCCCTGGCGGCTCCTTCAGGTACGCGTAGATAAAAGAACACACACGCCATCACTTCCTCCATGTTCGTTCTTCCTCTGAACCGTTCGCTTCTCCAATTTCATAGGTGACCTGGGACGAGCCTGAGCTCCGGCAGAACGTGAGCCGCGTGTGCCCGTGGCGGGTCGAGCTGGTGTCGAGCATGCCCAACCTGCCCCGCTTCTCGCCGCCGCCGCGCAAGAAGCCGCACACCCCGGCGTACACGGAGACTCTCTCGGAGCGCCAGCAACTTTTCGACCCCGCCTTCCCGTTCCCGCCCACACACCCACTCCCACTGGCACCACCCTTTTCGGATCTGCACCTCAGCGACCTGCAGCAAAGCCTGCTGTTCTGTGGCATCCACCCCGCCGATCACCAAGCCCCTCCCGCTCCAAGGATCGCCACCGACTTGAAGATCGGCAGCCCAACACCCCATTCTCCATCACCTGAGGCCAAGAAAGGCGACGACGTCAAGCCACCGGGGATAATGCTCTTCGGACAGGCGATACTGACCGAGGAGCACATGAAAAGCAGCAACGGCTCTGGTGTCCCGACCTCGCCGCGAACCACCAGCAGCGGCGACGAGAAAGCGTCCAACACGTCTGATCGCTCTCGCTCCGACGTCTCCCATGGAAGTCCCGCCAAGAAGAACTCGCCCTCCTCTTGGAGATTGTGGTGGTCTGGAGACAGTTCACCGTCTGAGTTTGCGCTGGAGCCCGGGCAGTGCAAGGTGTTTGTGGAGTCGGACACTCTCGGCAGGAACCTTGACCTCTCGGCGCTGGGCTCATTCGAGGAGCTCTGCGCGCGCCTGTCCAGCATGTTCGGCATCAGCAACGCTGATCTGAGGAGCCACATGGTCGACCGAACCATCGCCGGCGAGGTGAAGCACGTCGGCGACGAGCCTTTCAGGTGAGCACATCAGCGACTTCATTGCACTTCCTTGATTATACAAATCCAAACCGTACTACAACTCCTTTCGATGACTAACAAACTGAAAAAAGGTTGCCGTTTTCTCACTTTTCTTCACTTGTTTGCAGTGTGTTCGTGAAATCCGCGCGGAGGATCACCATACTGACCGACGCTGGCAGCGACAACACTGGCAACCGATGAACGACCAATCGAGATCGGCTGCAAAAACTTCGGGCGCTATATTCCTAGGATGCAATAAGCCGGATGCACAGCTGAGGTTGCTGCCGCATGCATTCGGTTTCCTTCATAGATCAGTCCTAGAGAGTTAACAGCTTAGAGTAAGAGCATCTCCAGCAGTCCTTCAATACAACTCCCCAATAAGATGGTATTGAGGTAGCCCAATATCACTTTCTAGATTTATTGGAGGAATTATTGTAGCAGTGCCTCAATATATCTCTCCCAATACCCATACGAAAGATGGGTCTCACAGGTGTGTAAAAAAAAATATGGCTGAAAAGTGGTACTTGGGATGGTCTCCATGGTATTGGGGGAGTTGTATCTCCCCCTTTCTTTGAGGGGAGATGAGAAAAATATTAGTGGCCACCAAAAAAATGAAAAGGTATTAGGGAACTGCTTGAGTAAGAAAAAAACATAGCTATCCCCAATATAACAGTTTTATAGGGATATGGGGAGATATTGGAGAATTGTTGGAGATGCTATAAGGTAGTCATAGTGAACCACATCGGCTAGGCATTTATAACATTATTAATTAAATAGGAGTGCCACCTAGGAAATCAAATGAAATTGGGTCTTGCATGGGACCTACTTCTTCCTCCTCCTAAAATGACTTGACGTTTTAGGATTTTTAGGATAGAGGGGTGTGAAATAACCATGAATGCCCCTATCAATTGGGATTGTTCTAGGTTTGAAGGACCGTATAGGCAAGCAGATGGAGGCAAGAGGGGTTTAGAATTACAAGTTTTATGAGACAATTTGAATTCTACAATGTCAAAATTTTTAGGAGGGAGATAGTTGTTTCTAGCATCAAAATTAAGGCATAAGAAAAGTAAATGTTTTTCTTATTTTCTTATAATAATTTAGAAACTGTGCATTGGAAAGTGTCTATGTGACATGTGGCATCATAGTTTTTAGTATTGGGACTACTCTACCAAATAAAAGGTTGAATGTATGGTACTCATAAAAGTGGATTCTTATCTTCACATCCATTACTCATAATAACATACGAATTGATGGTAGTTACCGAAAACTGAATGAGAATATTTTGAGAATCTAAACATATGTAGCCTTCATTGGAGCATCTTCAACAGAATAGCTAAATGGTTTTCTAAAGTCAAGTATAGCTATTATTAAGCAAAAAAAACGCCTCCAACAAACTCTTCAAGTGACTCTCTAAATTTAGTCGCTCTCTGTCCCAGAAAATTCGCTCGCTACAAATGGACACGCAGCCTCGCTCGCCATCGGTCCTCCACGCGCGCTCGGCGGCCTCTTTCCGCACGCGCAGGCCCTTTCCCGTGCATGGCCTTCTGGTTTCCCTCCACCTTCCTGGCCCTGTGCAAGCATCCGTCTATGGCTGCCATGTCGCTGTCGCTGTGTCCCGGTGTTGCGGCGCCTGTGCAGGGGTCCTGGCCATCTTCTTCGATGCCCCCGTTCTTGCCTCGGTTCACTGGAGTTCAGATTGTTGTGCTGTCGGGTGGTTCCTCCCCTTGCTTCGATGGCTGGCTTCCGCATGTGCTTCCGCATGGCTGGCTTCCGAGGAGCGGCGGCACTGCAGAGATGCAATCTGAAAAAGGCTAGAAGAAGGAAACGACGGAGCCCTACAGTGACGTGGCAAGTTTGAAAATAGAGAAGGCTATATTTTACCGAGGCTGTTGGAGTAGCCTAGTTTTCTTTGGGTAGGATTTATTTTACATAATAGCTAATTTTGGCTAGACTCTTGGAGATGCTCTTAGATCCACTGCTTGTCTACCCCACCCACCCCAGAATAAACTGTGTTCCTACTGTTAAACAGATAATAAGGGATATGTCGGCCACAAGGCATAAACAGGCCATGTAATTCTTTTGCGTTTCATAACAACCTAGCGATCAAACTTGATAAAGCGCTCCATGCTTCCCATGGATGAACCTCGTATCGAGGGACTCTTATCAATGATTATGGAAAAAGTGGGTAGCTTTCGGATATGCTTCAATGCTGCCTCTGCAATACGCCGTGTTCTGGAATCTCCATGTTGGAAAGCATGAACAAGTGCAGATCCCAGACTGTGATCGGTTGAAGCAGCTTGGGCGATATCCTCTGCCCGCAGAATCCTCTCCACAGCCCACGTCACCCTGTGCTGAAGACTGCCTGTCGGATTTTCCTTCAAGATGTCAAATATAGGTGCAACTCCATTAGACCTATGGAGCACCGAAACGCCTTCTGCAGTCTCCACTCCATCTTCAAGCAGGGTGCAAAGAGCAGCCAGAGCAGCTTCGACAACCTTCTTGTTAGAATGATTCAAACAATGAATCAGTCGTTCCACGGCTTTCCCTTCTAGGATACAGAAGTTATCCCTAATTGAACAGACTCCAGAATGAACACGACAAAATTGAATATTTGGTGGTTTCCTCCCAAATAGTGCAAGTTTAGACCTCTGTTCACTATCATCAAATTTCGGTGTACTAGTCAGATACTTAGATTCTAACGAGAGATTCATTAATGCCTTTGCAGAGACCACCTGTACCTCCTCAAGCCCATTCAGCCGAAGCAAGCTGGTGAACAAGGCAGCAAGGTTGTACTCACGAGCAAGGGAAACGCATCGGGGTTCATCTCGCAAGACATATGTTATCCTTGCCAAGACTTTTGTAAGGCCTTCAAGCAGTGCATTGTCATAGATGTCACTTCCAGCATCCCTGCGGTAGATGCTTAAAACCTTACTAGCAACTATCTTGAAAGCCCCTTGCTCCATTAGCTCTCTGGTGAGGTGCTTGACCCTTTTTGGAAGGTTTGCCAGAATCTGAAGTGCAGCATCTTGCTCATTAGCGTTTCCATCATTAAGAAAGGCAACTTTAACTAAGCAGCCAAGTAGTGTTGGACTTGCACGGAAGACTTGGGCTATCTCATGGCCCAGGTGGAATGAAATTTTGTATATCAGCTTTATGGATGCAGTGCGGCTTTCCTGATGATCACTCTCAACAAACTGCACCAAGTTGGTGATAGCACCAGAAGATTTTATAGCTGAGACAATTGACAGTACTGTCCCTGTGGAACTGCTCAGGGTATCAAAAAATTCAAGAAGCTTGCACTGTATTGGAGGTGAGGTATTACTGATCAAAAGAAGTAGGCTGTGAACAATGTCTTCAGACACCAGAGTACGGTCTCCGTCGAGGGGTACTGTCCCAATGTCAACACCAGATGCAACCAGATTAGCTAGAACTGCAGCTGCAGCCTCTTGCAACCTCGGTGGAAGGAGACTGGTGCGATTGATAGAGAGAACTCGGAAAAGAGGGAGAAGGACATTTTCCTCTATAAGAACCTTGGCACTCTCTGCATTGGTGGATATATGCTCTAACACCTTGAAAGCAACTTCTTTTGCTTCCAAGTTTCCCTTTTCAACAATACCACCAAATAAGGAACCCACCCTTCGGGCAACTAAGATCTTCAAGTCATTAGACAAAACAATCTTTTCTAGAGATGATACCATAAGCAGCTGCTTTTCTGGAGAACCTGATCAATTTGCAGAAAATATATCATAGCGTGAGAAACCAGTAAAGCACTTCCATAGTTAACATTGTAAACTAACAAGTTCACCAATGCTAAAAGATGTGGGAAGCTTATAAGTTACTATTACTCCTATCATCATATTCATATATAATAACTTATTAAGATAGTATCGCATTGATCAAGTAATACTGATAGGGAAGGAGATGGCACCTTCAATAAGCAGGTTAAGTAGAGGTTCCAGCCTGCCATTTTCAGCCATCTGCACGGCATTATTCTCACACCTGTCCAAATTCCCAAGTGTCCTTTCAGCCTTCTCAGCTATTGTTGGATTGTCAGCTTTGCTTCCAGACACCTTGCCCAGTATAAGTACGGCTCCATTCAATTCACTTATTTTCCCACATACTAGCTCAGACTTGGAAAGGTTGCACAGTGCAGAGACTGCCAATTCCCTCTCCTGACAATCCTCACAATCGATGAACTTGATGATTGTGCGAATGGTGTCCCCTTCCGACACAGCTTCCTGCAAAGGATGAAGAGACATGCTGTCAATACTATTGTTATCGTACACCACGTAATTATAAACACACTCAATTTCGTTGTCTCGTCCTTTCACCTACCCTGTCTTGATCAGTTTCTCTGGCAAATTCCTGAATAGCTTCCAGCGCTTTGAGACGCACCATGGTGCTGCCGCTTCTCAGCATGCCACCAACCATGGGTATCATCCCCTCGTCACGCACTGTGCGCCTGCCCACCCGCCCTCCGCTCCACCCTCGCGCAACGCAGCCTAACGCCCGCACCGCCTCTTTCTCCGTGGCGTCCTTGGTGAGCCACTGGCAGGCCCTGCGGAGCTCATCCCTCTGCTGCCTGTCCGTCCACTCCTCGATGGCGGCCCGTAGCGCCAGGACCGGCCTCAGGTCCGCCCTGTGCACCTCCCGCATCGTGATCGGGCAGTACGGCCCCCTGCCGAGGTCGCGGCACTCAGAGAACCACCGGGCGATGGCCTCCCGCTCGAAGGCGTGGCCAGTCTCGATCACCACCGGGTCCCGCATCACCTGCATGGTGATCGGGCAGACGAACGCCGACAGCGCCCCGTCCTCCTCCTCGTGCCCGTCGAGACCGTCTGCAACTGCAAGTCGAAAAATCAAAGAATCAGAGTCCCCCGCGAGCAATCCGTCGAGCACCGTGAGGGCGTGAAGACGTCATTGCGGCCTTTGCATCGATCGGTGAGAGGATGGTTAGTGCGATGGACGGGCTACTTTACCTTCTTGTTGACGCCGCGATCCTTGGCGGTGCCGCTCCATGGCTCGTGGGGCTCGGGGAGGAGGAAGAGGAAGCAGCAGGCGTCAGTGAAGTTGACTGGGCGGGCGCCATTGAGTTTGGCGGAGTTTAAAGAAGAGTTGAAATGGGAATGGAGCTGGTTGGCAGAATGGCGCAGCGCACACGGAAAGGCCGGCGGTCTCACGGTCACGGTGGCGATGACGCGCGAGGAGGGGCGGTTGGAAACGTGCGGCGTGAGTGGGCAGCTGCGGGGCGAGGCTGACGGTGGTGACCCGCGGCCGCGGGGAAGCGGGGGTGGAAACGAGAGCCTGCGACTGGGCATGGGTGTGGCCCGGGGTGGTGAGTCGGTGATGGGAACTGCTCCGCTGCCACGCGAGTTGTAACATTTTGTAATCCAGGTTTCTTGCGTGTACCAGGCCAACATTCCTCCCTCTCGCGGTTTAACTGGTCGTGCGCGAAATTACGGAGCATCACCGCCTGCCATAAGTGTGTTGACGAGGTGGCGAGGTGGAAGAAAGGCAAGCGACAACCTGAGCGGCAGACTTTGTCACCCTAGGGGTAATTTTTTTTAGTCTTTTTACATGTGTGTTATTATAAAAATTTGTAATAACCTACCACCGGAGGTGTTGACATTTAAATTGGGTCAAGCCAATTTAAATAAGTCCATGACAGTTTTGGCACAATCTAAGAAAAAGTTCATAAAGCGACATGATAATAGTACCACGTTAGTTTTCTTATGTGATAAGACCACCCCTACCTCTTATGATACATGGCCGATTAAGTTCTCATCTATTCAATCGTCAGACAAATCAATCTACTACCTCTACTCCAACCCTTTTATTCTATTCTCCAACCCCCATGCTGTTCATCCCTTGATCCGACGACCAAGGATGGCGTCCTAGGCTTACCGGCAGGCCCGGTCCTGGCGGGGGTCGAGCAGTGCCCCCGCACTGGGCCCTCGGATCCTTGGGGCCCTCCCAGGAATCTAAAGGCAGTGTTGGTTTGGCTGTCAGGCACGTTGCCGGTTTAATTTGCGACACGTTCAACCTTGTGGCATCGTTTCACTTAATGCTCGAGTTGTAGCTTATACTTGTATAATCTCAGCTTCTATACATGTGCTTGTGCAACGTGACGTGATCCACGTGACTTTGTCAATAGACTATTAATTCCTATTTCCTTTGTCCCACATTATAAGACGTTTTGGCAATTCTATATTCATACATTTTCCTATGTATCTAGACATAATATATCTATGTGCATAGCAAAAGTTATGAATCTAAAAAAGCTAAAATATCTTATAATTTGAAACGGAGTACCTTTTATCATTTACTCAGTCTCACTATTTGTTACTTCGTCCATCCTAAAATAAGTACATACCCTATTAATCAAGGAGTCAAATATTTTTAAGTTTGATCAAATATATATACACAATAATACTAATATTTATTATGTGCAATAAGCATTACTACATTAGTTGTGCATTTTATATTTATAATAAACTATTTTAAGATACAAATATTGATATTATTTTATAGTTAAATTTAAAAGAGTTTGACTCTATGAGAAGCGTGATGTGTGTTTATTTTACGACAGAATGAGAATATGTTAAATACCAAACTAAAACACCGTGATCGATCCCCTGCACGTACGGATTGGCGCACAAAATTACATAATCATTTTTTACCTGTAAATATTAAATTGCTTGATAATTTTAGATGTGTTTATTGGTAACATTTCATATGCATATTTTTCCCTTTATTTCAATTTTTAAGGGGCCTTCGTCTATGATTTCGCTCTAGGCCCTTAAACCCTCGGGACCGGCCCTGCTTACCGGCCGACCTAGGGCAACCCGGCGATGTCCTTGCCCTGACAGGTCCCTTCCGGGTAAGAGCTTCAACGGTTTCTTTGCTAGTTTGCCTAAAAACTAGCCGGTTCTTCGTCACGTAAACACGTTGGTTATCCTTTGGCGGTTTGCTTGAAAACCTCTCCGTTCTTTACCACAAAAGAGTGACATCCTCGCTGCGTTCTTCGGTCCGTGGCGGCCTGGACGTCAAGGCCCTACTGGTTTGTGATTCGGACCACCTCCGACATCAACACATTTTTTGGCAATTCCGCTGGGGACGATTACCTAATTTTTATAAATTTAGTGGTGAAGATGATAAAACCGCTATGGAACACATTAGTATATATCTATCATAGCTGGGTTTTACCGGTAAAGAAGAGTATATGAGAGTGCGGAATTTTCCTTTATCTCTTACTCGTATTGTCTTTGCACAGTTTACATCTTTGCCTAGGTGTACTGTTGGTTCATGGTCTCAATTAGAGGAGCAATTCTATGAATATTTTGAAAAGACCAATGAGAAAAGGCCGATCACAGTTGAGTCATCGGCTAAAAGAGGATTGTTAGTGGGCATGAAAGAAAGAATTAATTCGGATGTAACCAAAGGTTCGGCTACAAAAGCCAAACAACACAACATCCTTTCCGAATCAATCACATATCAAGAAACAAGTCTTGCTACACAAAAGCATGAGAAGCGCAAGAAAATAGCTAGACTTGATTTTTCAAGAGCTAAAGGGGTTGTACATTTATCTAGTGATTACTACATCATTAATGGAGATCAAGCCCCTACAAGTAACAAAGGAGGGTTGCCTGCCTGCTCAGAATCGGCTGAGCCGACTTTGAAGTCGGCTGAGCCGACAATTGCTTGCCTGAGTCGGCTAGGCCGACTACCCCTGCTGCTGCTTTGCCTGCTAGCGCCCAAGTCGGCCTAGCTGGCTTCCTCTGTTCCTGTAAGTGCAATCAATCCCTATTGTGGGTTTTGGTATTAATGACCACCAAATTAGAGGACTAACAAGATTTATCGAGATGACAAGCAGGGAATCAAAGAATGAGGATGATGTACAGGTTGCAGGTGTCCTAATTACAAATGGTGTCATGACCTAGCTCAAAGGAAGCTTAAATTCTTTTATGTTTTGAAATTGAGTTTAGGAAAAGCCGTACTATTAAGAGGGATTTTAGGACAGTTGGTCAACTGTTGAATCAGATGCTCAAATTCACAGATCTACATCCTCCCACCTAGTCAAAATAGCCAGCCAAATTTGATATCATATTACCTGTTTTGGCTAGGGCGGCAGTGCCGCCCTTAACTGACCGTTGGGCTCGGGGGGTATTTATACCCTTCAGGCCCAGCCCACAACGATCATCTTCTCTACTGAGTCATTCAGCTCGAAACAAGACAGAACCAAAGCTCACCTCTCTCCTCCATTGTTGCTCCTCCATCCCTCAAGCTAATCCTTGATTCCAACCATCAAAACTTGAGAGAAAAGGCAGCAAAACTCGATTGGAGAGAAGATCCACTGATTTCCAAAGTCTAAGAGCATTTGGTTCACGTTTGGTCGGTGGTTCTAAGGTTTGTTACTCTTGGAGCTTGCTCCTAGCCGGCTAGGCGTCGCCCTTGTGCTTGCCAACTTGTGTGGCAGCCTTGGGAGGTTTGTAACCTCATTCGAAAGCTAAGAAATCACCCCTCACTTCAAGAGTTTACTCTCTTGATTTGAGAACAAGGGTAAGGCAAGCCTTTGTGGCAAGCTCAAGCCTTTTGTGGCTTCCTCAACAACGTGGACTTAGGCAAACCTTAGTGGTGAGCTGAACCACGGGATAAATCTTGTGTCTCGCGTGCTTCATCTTTACCATACTGTTGTTTACCTTGTTGCTAGCTGTTGCTAGAGTTTAGTTGCTCGATTCACTGTTGTGTGAAGTTTCTGTGGTATCCAGTCTTCGAACTGGATCTTGGCTTAATATTGTAGGATTAAGCAACTAGTGGGGTCAGATTCATATCTGTTAAATCTCAACTGTGTTAGATTATTTTTCATAGTGCGGCAGTGCCGCCCTCTATTTTAACAGAGTTTTGAGTTGAATTTTTACAGGCCTATTCACCCTCCTCTATGCCTTCTTTATCTTCCTGTAGATCCTACAAGTGGTATCAGAGCGAGGTTGCTTCGTATACGCTTCACCGCGTGAAGTATGGAAGAAGGAGAAGGTTCGAAGAACGTTCGCGTTGCGGACGCAAGTGGTGTGCACGTTGAGGATGTCGGCAGCAGCAGCGAGCTGTCCATGTCCACAGCAAGTGATGCCGCCATCAAAGAACCTAAGACCACCGATGCCGAAAGAAGAAAGGCAAGAAAAGAAAGAAAAGCCGCAAAGATTGCAACAAGAGAAGCTAGAGAAAAGAAGAAAGAAGAGCAGCGGCTCAAAGACAAGAAAAAAAGAAAAGAAGCTAGAAGAATCACAAGAGAGGCAAGAGCTAAGAGAAGAGCAGCAAGAGCTCAAGAGCAAGAGAAGAATGAGTATGATGCATCATCTAGTGAGCTCTCTAGTAGCTTGGATGATGAAGATGATGATGTGTCATGCCATGCTTCAAAAGATGGCAAGGAGGTGAAGAGCAAGGACAAGGGCAGCAACAACAATAAGAACAAATATGCCGCCGTATCCTTTAATTATTCTTATTTGTCTAACCATAACAAAAAGTCCTTTGTCAATGTACCCGCGGGAAAGTTGCCTCATTTTGATGGGACAAACTTTGCCAAGTGAAAGCACTTGATGAGTGCCTATCTTGTAGGTCTTCACCCCGGTCTTTGGGAGATTGTGGTGAATGGATTGCAGCCACCGGAAGATCCCGAAGCGCCAACAAATAAAGAGCTAGCTGCTATCCATCTCAATGGCCAAGCCACAAGTATTCTTCTTAGTGCCTTGGATGGAAATGAGTACAACCGAGTGATGAATGTCAATGTTGCAAAACAGATTTGGGACACTTTGCATCTAGCACATGAAGGTGTAGATAAAGTGAGGAAAGCAAAAATTGATTTGTTGATGGCCAAGCTAAATAGGTTCATGATTGTTGATGGAGAGGGGCCACAAGAGATGTTTGATAGATTGATGACCTTGGTGGACAAAATTAGAGGCTATGGATATGATGAGCTTGATGATCACAAAGTGGTGAAGGTTATGTTGGAAGCCTACTCACCA